TAAATTCAAATTTCTCCAAATGAGTCAACTTTTAGTAAGTTCTTCTCACTTCTCACTTGTTCAGACTTCTTTAAGAGCTTTAGAGTGTAACAGAGTTTTTGCAGCCATTTTAAAGTTAGACAGCACATGGTAACAAAGGAACAAAACCAACTCTAACTTCTTGACCATGGTCAAAGCTAAAGAAAGCATCCAAAAACCTGACGGTTCCACCGTGCTGTTATCTCACGTACAATTTCTCTTTCCTCAGTTTTAATTAGGCTAAGTTTAAGAATAGAGATAGCCTGCTCTTGAGATCATACCTGGAACTGCGGATGCGCTGCTACAAACACACCACTTCAGTCACCATTAGTAATGCCACCGTGATATCTTTATTCCACTCTCAAATCAAACACATGCTCATCCTCAATGATGCACTGCTTAGTTGTTTGCATTCAAATATGCATATAAACATCCAAAAGAGTTACCGTCAGTTTTTATTAAAAAACCCTAATGTTCATGTTTTTTCCCCAGTACAGCTGTATTTTCCTTAAAAAGTACTGTATGTATCAAAAATGTAAGGTTTATCCCCTCACTGTCAGTTGTCTTTGAAGAACTGTCAAACATCCCCAACTGGAATGAACTTCAGAAGAGTCTCAAGGAAAAGCTTTTAGCTTTCTAAATGTAGGACAAGAGGCTTCGTATTTTGTGGCATGAAGGCAACATGCCATCAGCAAGTAATCCTTGTGTTTACAGCCTTCTTTCAGGAACGGTATCCACTCCAAATCTCAGTTGAGAAGTCACACCCTGCACAAAACTAACCCAAGATCACGAGATACATTATGCAGATGGAGAGTACTTCAAGTTCCATCGACATTCATGTTTTTAACAGCTCTTTAAAGATGTAATGGTGCAGATTAAGTACAAGCTTTTTGCCTCAGTATAATACACATTTCAAATTAAAATAAACCGTGGAAGACCAATAGCTTTACATTTTATTCCTCAGAAAAAGAATCTTAAAAGAAAGCATTCAGTAGTCCTCTTGTGCTTAAAATATTCAATGCATCAGAAAGCCAACAGGAAACAAAACACACACACATTCTGGTACACCATGATCAGAAAGGTAACATAACAAATGTTCAGGAATTGCACTGTATTTAAAACGCTCACTAGAATCTGCTCCACTTCTATGTGTGGCTACTGAAGCCGCTCAGTTCCTTTTCCTCTTTAACTGCCAACCTGTGGAGGCCCTTCAGGGACGAGTGACGTGAAGAAGGTTGTGATAAAGGACCAAGCAGAAGCTATGAATCCAGGTCCCTGCATTGTATTGGCATCTTCGCCTGCATCTTCTCCACTGTCTTAATCGATCCCATCATCCGTAAGTCATTCCTTTAAAAACAGAAATTGAAGCAATTCAGCTGCTTCTTTTCAGACCTCTAACACAAGGTCAGCAGCAGCATCTTCCTATGTTAAGCAGCTTCTCTCAGAACAACCTCCTGAAGAATAACTAGCATATAAAGAGCCTGCGAGTGAAGCAGAGACCATCAGTAATTGTCAGCCTCGAAAAATACAGGACTTAAGCTGCAGGCACTGTCCAGGCATTACAACATACTTTATAATACATAGGAGTCTCAGAACACGTCTGCTGTTACTTCCCATCTCTTCAAGATCAGGATTATTTGCATGTTGCCCATCACGATTCACATCCACCTTAATGGCTACCTGCTGTTGGCCTCACTCCTGCCTAAAGGGGAGCCATCCAGCTTGGTGTCTGTGTAAGAAAAAGGAACAGCTGAAAAGCAAACTTTTGAATTGAAGGCTGTAAGAGCCTCACCGGACACCACTCTACAATGACCAAGACACCAGCTCCCTAAGTGTGAATGTCCAGACCCTGTTCCTAAGACTAATGTGCTAAGACGGAAACCAGGAGCTGGGCACCTCCTACCCAACGTTTCCTCCAGAATAGTGCCTCCAACATTGACACCCTCATTTACTTACACACCTGAAACTCCATCTGTGTAAAACTCCATCTGTGTAAAGCCTCACTGGACACCACTCTCTGGTGACCGAGTCATCAGCAGCCTATGTGCGAATGTCCAGACCCTGCTCCTAAGCCCTTGGGGAACCTGCAGAGTCAGTCTCGCTGGGAGACAAACCGCTGGGCCCCGCAGCAGCCACTCTGCTCCGCACCACGCTCGCAGCATCCTTCATCCCGCACTTCCGTAATAAAGGGATCAATCACATCAAGGGCTTCCTTTTATTTCAGTCCGCGTGGAAGACAAGCAAGATTCCTGCCTTCCCTCCGCTGTACACTATCAGCACCAAGCCCACTGGCTCAACACTCGGTCCCATGTTAGTTCAAACCCAAATAGCTGGGCATGTCCTACACACAGTGCCCTCCAAAACAGTGCCACCAACTTGGATATTCCCACTTACTTACACAACTACGAGTCCATCTCTGTAAAGCCACATAGGACACCACTCAGGCCAGTTTTGCCATAGAACGGAGCAAGGTCAAGAGACCTGAGCAGGAGATTCAGGTTTTGGGAATAAAACGGCAAGAAGGATGCCACCAGTTCCCCACAGACGTGATCAGCAAGGGAACAGCAATGTCTCCACCAACCAGTAAGAAACAAACACGAGCTTTCTCGGGTGTTGTGGGGTCTGGAGAAAGCACATCCCAAATTACAGTCTGGTTGTGAGCTTTCTCTATCAAGTGACCCGCCAGAAGAATGATTTCCAATGGGGCTCAAGAGCCTGAGGGTTTGGGTCCCTTTTCCAATTGCCTTGTCAACACCTGCTTACCTACAAAGTGACCCCAGCTACTTGGCTTCCCTGCCCTCTGATTCCAGGCTCCCAGCTCAATTACCTCAGCATCGGAGCAGCCCGGTGATAACATGCTCACCTGCACCACAGCCAAAATCCTTCTGTATATCCCACAGCTCACTTAGGGCCAGGGAGCGAGAGCTTCGCTCTGCTTCTGCCCCTTCCTCTCTTTCTAGCGCTGGCCCTGTGCCGTCCTCTGTCACTGCACGAGCTGACTTCAGTGTCCAGTTCTTCTCTCTAGAGGGGCAACTGATAACAGCACAGACTGGTTCTTTGGTTCAGCCCAGGTGCCTGCTACTGGGCTGGAGTGGCCACAAGTGTCTGCTATCAGGGTTGGAGTGGCAGCAGTACCTGTGACCACGGCTGGAATGGCTAGAGTGCCTGCCGCTGAGGCTGCAGTAGCCACAGTGCACATTGCTGGGGTCTTGTTCTCCTTGAGGGTACTGGATAGTGCTGAGCAAGGCTCGGTGGGCATGGGACAGGCCCCAGCACGTTGTGGTGATTTTGCCTCTCCGGTATTGCCAGGACGATGCTTTTCCCAGCTAATGGAGTAGTTTTCCTGGATTTGGCACTTGTTCAGGGGTGAAGTTCCACAGCATGGCAGGGGCCACTGGCCTAGGTACTTGGCCATACTATCCCACACGGCCTGCCACTCATAACTGTACAGCCTCGGGGAAGATGTCTGGGGGGTATGCTCACATCGTTGTTTACCCTTAAGCAAGACCTGAACCATACGCAGCAACACGCTGGTTCCCAGCAAAGGAGCAGGTTGGTTTCATGGGTATTCAAAGGACATTTAACAACTCTGAAATTCCCAAAAGCCACCGTAAATAGCCTGGTGCGGAGGTAGAAGATGTGGGGGGACGTCTCCCCCATAGGTTGGTCATCCAAGGAGAAAAGGCAAGAGATACAATTATTAATAGTTCCCACAATGTGGATTCCAAAGTACAGAGGGGATGGCAGTGCTGAGAACACAGACCAGATTAACAATTTCTGATACACAGATGTCAGCGCTATTCTTAACATCAAGACACAAACACGGCTATTTAATCCATCAGATTTATTATCGCTATAAACACATATGAAGTTATAAATACCAATACATTTATTAATAAAGCTATAAATAACATATAAATTTATGAAGAAAGGTATAAATGACACATACAAATTTATGAAGGTATAAATAACATCTAAATTTATTAAGATATAAACACCATAAAAACTTATGAAGATATGAGTAACATATAAATTTATTAATAAAGCTATAATAACACATACAAATTTATGAAGAAAGCTATAGATAACATACACATTTATAAAAACATAAAGATCATAAATGTATGCAGCTGTAAAATGACATAAATTTATTAATAAACCTATAAATGACACATACAAATTTATGAAGAAAGCTACAAAAGAACATGTGAATTTATGAGTAAAGATACAAATAACACATACAAATTTTTGAACAAAGCTATGAATAACATAAATTTATAAATAAAGCTATAAATAAGACATACAGATTTATGAATAAAGCTATACATAACATTTATTAATAGACCGATGAATAACATACAAATTTATGAAGAAAGCTATAAATAACACAATAATTTATGAATAAAGCTATAAATAATACAAACTTATTAATATAGCTATAAATAAAATATAAATATATCAATACAGCTATAACAAACATACAAATTTATTAATACAGCTATAAGTAAGACATAAATTTATGAAGAAAGCTACAAGATATAGATTTATGAAGAAAGCTATAAGTAACATAAATTTATACATAAAGCTAAAAAATAGCATACCAATTTATGACTAAAGCTATAAATAACATGATAATTTATGAATAAAGCTGTAAATAATACAAATTTATGAATAAAGCTATAACTAAAATATAAATGTGTTAATACAGCTATAACAAACCTATACATTTATTAAGCTATATATAACGTACAAATTTATGACTAAAGCTATAAATAACATGTTACGCTATAAATAATAAAATTTATTAATACAGCCAAAAATATATAAATGTATTAACACAGCTGTAAAGAACATACAAATTTATAAATAAAGCTAATAACAACATACAAATTTATGAATAAAGCTATAAATAACATACAAAATTATGAATAAAGCTATAAATAACATACGAAATTACGAATAAATCTATAAATAACAGAAATCTATTCATAAACCTACAAATAACACATAAAGTTATTAACAATGCTATAAACACCATGTAAATTTCTAATAAAGCTATAAATAACACATCAATTGATGAATATTGCTATAAGATACAAAATTATGAATAAAACAATATAAAATATACCATTTCATGAATAAAGCTATAAATAACATACAAAATTATGAATAAAGCTATAAATAACATATAAATTAATAAAGCTATAAATAACATATAAAATATTACTAAGCAATAAATAACACATATATTTATTAATAACGCTATAAATACCATAAAATTTTAGAAATCAAGCAATAAATAGCATACAAATTTATGAATAAAGCTATAAATAAGACACAAATGATGACTAAAGCTAGAAAGAACAAATTTATAAAGCTATAAATAACATACATTCATGAAAAAAGCTATAAAGATACAAGGCTTATGAATAAAGCAATAAATAAGATACAAATTTATAAATAAAGCTATAAATAAGATGCAAATTTATGACTAAAGCTATAAATAACAAATATCTAAATAAAGCTATAAATAACACAAATTTTTAATAAAGCTATTAATAACATAAAATTTATGACAAAAGCTATAACATAGATTTCTAAATAAAGCTACAAATAACATAGATATTTATCAATAAAGCTATAAATAACACATAAATTTCTAAATAAAGCTATAAATAACATACAAAGTTAGGAATAAACCTATAAATAAGATACAAATTTAGGAATAAAGCTATAAATAACATATAAATTTATAAATAAGGCTGTAAATAACACAAATTTAGAAATAAAGCTATAAATAGCATATAAATTTATGAATAAAGCTCTAAATAAGATACAAAATTATGACTAAACTAGAAACAACATAAATTTTTAAAGCTACAAATAAAACATACATTGATGAATAAAGCCCTAAATAAGATACAGACTTATGAATAAAGCAATAAATAAGATACAAATTTATAAATAAAGCAATAAATAAGATACAAATTTATGACTAAAGCTATATATAACATAGATTTCTAAATAAAGCTATAAATAACACAAATTTATAAATAAATAAATCTATTAACATACAAATTCATGACAAAAGCTATAACATATAAATTTCTAAATAAAGCTATAAGTAAGATAGATGTTTATATATAAAGCTATAAATAACACATAAATTTATGAATAAAGCTCTATATAAGATACAAAATTATGACTAAAGCTATAAATAGCTTATAAATTTATAAAGCTATAAATAAGATACAAAATTATGACTAAAGCTAGAAATAACATAAATTTATAAAGCTATAAATAACACATATATTGATGAATAAAGCTATAAATAAGATACAGACTTATGAATCAAGCAATAAATAAGATACAAATTTATAAATAAAGCTATTAATAACATGCAAATTTAGGACAAAATCTATAACATAGATTTCTAAATAAAGCTATAAATAGCATAGATATTCATAAATAAAGCTATATATAACACATACATTTCTAAATACCGCTATAAATAAGATATAAATTTATAAATAAGGCTATAAATAACACACAAATTTAGAAATAAAGCTATAAATAGCATACAAATCTATGAATAAAGCTATAAATATGATAAAAATTGTGACTAAAGCAATAAATAACATAAATTTATAAAGCTCTAAATAAGATACAAAATTATGGTTAAAGCTAGAAATAACATAAATTTTTAAAGCTATAAATAACACATAAATTGATAAATAAAGCTATAAATAACATACAGACTTATGAATAACGCAATAAGTAAGACATACATTTGGAAATAAAGCCATAAATAACAAATTTAGAAATAAAGCTATAAATAACATAAATTTCTAAGTAAAGCTATAATTAGCATAGACAGTTCTAAATAAAGCTCTAAATAACACATAAATATATAAATAAAGCTACAAATAAAATACAAAGCTACGAATAAAGCAATAATTAAGATACAAATTAGGAAAAAGCTATAAATAAGATATGAATTTATAAATAAGGCTATAAATAAGATAGAAATTTAGGAATAAAGCTATAAATAAGCTATAAATTTATCAATAAGGCTATAAATAAGATAGAAATTTAGGAATAAAGATATAAATAAGCTCTAAATATATGAATAAGGCTATAAATAAGATAAAAATTTAGGAATAAAGCTATAAATAAGCTATAAATTTATGCAGAAGATAAAAATTTAGGAATAAAGCTATAAATAAGCTATAAATTTATGCAGAAGATAAAAATTTAGGAATAAAGCTATAAATAAGGTATAGATTTCTAAATAAAGCTATAAATATGATACAAATTTAGGAATAAAGATATAAATAAGCTACAAATATATGAATAAGGCTATAAATAAGATAAAAATTTAGGAATAAAGCTATAAATATGCTATAAATATAAAAATAAGGCTATTAATAAGATAAAAATTTAGGAATAAAGCTATAAATAAGATATTAATTTATAAATAAGGCTATAAATAAGATACAAATATACGAATAAAGCTATAAATAAGCTATAAATTTACGGAGAAGATAAAAATTTAGGAATAAAGCTATAAATAAGGTATAGATTTCTAAATAAAGCTATAAATATGATACAAATTTAGGAATAAAGCTACATATATATAGCTGTTTATATAGAAAGCTATAAATAAGACATAAATTTATGAATAAAGCTCTACATAAGATACAAAGTTATGACTAAAGCTATAAATAGCTTATAAATTTATAAAGCTATAAGATACAAAATTATGACTAAAGCTAGAAATAACATAAATTTATAAAGCTATAAATAACACATACATTGATGAATAAAGCTATAAATAAGATACAGACTTATGAACCAAGCAATAAATAAGATACAAATTTATAAATAAAGCTATTAATAACATACAAATTTAGGACAAAATCTATAACACAGATTTCTAAATAAAGCTATAAATCACATAGATATTTACCAATAAAGCCTTAAATAACACATAAATTTATAAATAAAGCTAAAAATAAGATTCATGGTTAGGAATAACGCTCTAAAGAAGATACAAATTATGACTAAAGCTAGAAATAACATAACTTTATAAAGCTATATTATAAACACATGCATTGATGAATAAAGATATTAGCTACAGACATGAATAAAGCAATAAGACAAATTTCTAAATAAAGCTATAAATAAGATACAAATTTATGATTAAAGCTATAACATAAATTTCTAAATAAAGCTATAGATAGCATAGATATTCATAAATAAAGCTATAAATACCACATAAATTTCTAAATAAAGCTATAAATAAGAAACAAAATTAGGAAAAAAGCCATAAATAAGATATAAATTTATAAATAAGGCTATTAATAACACACACATTTAGAAATAAAGCTATAAATAGCATACAAATCAATGAATAAAGCTCTAAATCCGATAAAAATTATGACTAAAGTTATAAATAACTTATAAATTTATAAGGATCTAAATAAGATACCAAATTATGATTAAAGCTAGAAATAACATAAATTTTTAAAGCTATAACACATAAATTGATAAATAAAGCTATAAATAACATACAGACGTATGAATAACGCAATAAATAAGACACACATTTAGAAATAAAGCTATAAATAACAAATTTAGAAATAAAGCTATAAATAACATATAAATTTCTCAATAAACCTATAAATAGCATAGATATTTCTAAATAAAGCTATAAATAACACATAAATTTCTAAATAAAGCTACAAATAAAATACAAAGTTATGAATAAAGCAATAATTAAGATACAAATTTAGGAATAAAGCTATAAATAAGATATGAATTTATGAATAAGGCTATAAATAAGATATACATTTGTAAGGTTCTAAATAAGGTAGAAATTTAGGAATAAAGCTATAAAGAAGCTATAAATATATAAATAAGGCTATAAATAAGATACAAATTTAGGAATAAAGCTATAGATAAGCTATAAATATATAAATAAGGCTATAAATAAGATACAAATTTACGAATAAAGCTATAAATAAGGTATAGATTTCTAAATAAAGCTATAAATATGATACAAATATAGGAATAAAGCTATAATTAAGCTATGAATTTATAAATAAGGCTATTAATAAGATACAAATTTAGGAATAAAGCTATAAATAAGCTATAAATATATACCTAAGGCTATAAATAAGATACAAATTTAGGAATAAAGCTATAAATAAGCTATAAATATATAAATAAGGCTATAAGTAAGATAGAAATTTAGGAATAAAGCTATAAATAAGGTATAAATTTATAAATAAGGCTATAAATAAGATACAAATTAGGAATAAAGCTCTAAATAAGATATGAATGTATGACTAAGGCTATAAATAAGATATACATTTGTAAGGTTATAAATAAGGTAGAAATTTGGGAATAAAGCTATAAAGAAGCTATAAATATATAACTAAGGCTATAAATAACATAGAAATTTAGGAATAAAGCTATAAATAAGCTATAAATATATAAATAAGGCTATAAATAAGACACAAATTTAAGAATAAAGCTGTAAAGAAGCTATAAATATATAAATAAGGCTATAAATAAGATACAAATTTAGGAATAAAGCTATAAATAAGCTATAAATTTATAAATAAGGCTATAAATAAGATAGAAATTTAGGAATAAAGCTATAAATAAGCTATAAATTTATAAATAAGGCTATAAATAAGATAAAAATATAGGAATAAACCTATAAATCAGCTATAAATTTATAAACAAGGCTATAAATAAGATACAAATTTAGGAATAAAGCTATAAATAAGCTATAAATATATAAATAAGGCTATAAATCAGGTAGAAATTTAGAAATAAAGCTATAAATCAGCTATAAATAAGATACAAATTTAGGAATAAAGCTATAAATAAGCTATAAATTTATAAATAAGTCTATAAATAAGACAAAAATTTAGGAATAAACCTATAAATAAGGTATAGATTTCTAAATAAAGCTATAAATAAGCTATAAATTTATAAATAAGGCTGTAAATAAGATAGAAATTTAGGAATAAAGCTATAAATAAGCTATAAATATATAAATAAGGCTAGAAATAAGACAGAAATTTAGCAATAAAGCTATAATTAAGCTCTAAATATAGAAATAAGGCTATAAATAAGATAGAAATTTAGGAATAAAGCTATAAATAAGCTATAAATTTATAAATAAGGATATAAATAAGATAAAAATATAGGAATAAACCTATAAATAAGGTATAGATTTCTAAATAAAGCTATAAATAAGCTATAAATTTATAAATAAGGCTGTAAATAAGATAGAAATTTAGGAATAAAGCTATAAATAAGCTATAAATATATAAATAAGGCTAGAAATAAGACAGAAATTTAGCAATAAAGCTATAATTAAGCTCTAAATATAGAAATAAGGCTATAAATAAGATAGAAATTTAGGAATAAAGCTATAAATAAGCTATAAATTTCTAAATAAGGATATAAATAAGATAGAAATTTAGGAATAAAGCTATAAATAAGCTATAAATTTATAAATAAGGCTATAAATAAGATAAAAATTTAGGAATAAAGCTATAAATAAGCTATAAATATATAAATAAGCCTATAAATAAGCTATAAATTTATCAATAAGGCTATAAATAAGATAGAAATTTAGGAATAAAGCTATAAATAAGATATAAATATATCAATAAGGCTATAAATAACTCGCAGGAGGGATCCAGCTGCTCCGCCTGTTCCCACGCTCCTCACTCTGGTGTCTCCCTCCAGAAGCAGCCCCTCTTCCAGGCTCCGCCTTCCAGCTCCTGGTGATCTAGGAAGCAAACAACACCAAGGAAGTATCAGGCCCTGCCTGTGGCTCACCTGGCAGCACGCACAGCAACTCTGCTGCCATCAGGGACAGTCAAATCCGGCCAAAGGCGGCCTGCGACTTGAAAATCTGAGGCTGTTTTTCTCCTCTGTTGCAGCACACAGGTGCTGTGCACACAGATGCAGCACACCTATCAGCAGGCTGCTGTGAAATTTCTTTAGTGATCTGAGACAGAAAGGTTGCACTCGTGCCCTCACTTCGGCAGCGTGGTGGGGTTTTCCCCTCTTACTTCAACAGTCACCTCATTAGTCAGTGTTCCCTTTGTGGCACTGTCACCCTCCAGCAAACATACCCACAGCCTGCATCTCAGTGCTGTGTACTGTGACATGCGGGGCTCTGACACAACTCCCACTGCTTCAGCTGTTATTGACGCATAGAATTTATTCCCTTGTCCACCTAGGAGTCCTCAGCACCAGCTTACGTATAGAAGCGTGTGGGCAAGTACGCCAAGAGCTCGTACGAGTGCAATAGTTGACCTGAAGGCCCGGGGAGGTACTTACACTGCAGACAATAACTCAGCTCTTGTGATCTCCCCTTGCTGGAAGAGTTTCAGAGCACCTGTCTTGCCCACCTCTAAAACATGTAGCATCTCTTAGCAGGGACTTACCCTGCTCTGCGCTGCGTCTTCTCTTCCTGCACAGATGCTTTCCAGGGGACCCTGCCTCTTCTGCAGCTTTCATTTCTGCCTCGGCTCCTGAAGTCAGTTCTCTTTCTTCTGTCACCCATCCGCATTTAACACTCCCATTCTCCTTTAAATAAACACAGCAAAAAAAATGAAATAAACCCAAAGAACACTCAATAGTTTCCTGGGGAGTTTTACCTCTATTTAGCACTTACTTGTTCTGCACTGAACAGTCCTTCCAGAACAAACATTTCAGATCTTTGAGCTGGGTTGTGATCCAGCTGCTCTCCATGTTCTTCAGGGGCTCCCTGGGTGGTCACATAGTCTTGTGCTGTTTCAGCAGCAGCAGTGCTTTCTCTGTCCGCATTGATGTAGCTTTCAAGCAGCTCTCCATCCCAGCTTTCTGCAGCCTCCCGTGTCACTACATCAGCGCTGTCTGATGCATAAATATCATTGAAAAACTGAAACACATCTTCATAACTTAATTCCGGCAGCACCTCCTCATGTTCGGATGCATGATGTACCCCACAAGAGGGCAGGCATTCAGCTGCAGAAGGTGGCTGCAATTCAGGACTCTGTGAGAAACAAAATACAGGGAATTTCTAGATCAAAAAATCACCACCATTTTCAGTCAGGGCTGATGGATTTTACCGCTCCTGAGGACTGTGCGAGTGCTTACTGATGATCAGTACATAAGCAGGGCAGGATGATCAATGCTGTAGCTGGCTGCATCCCTCAGCAGGACCTCGGGGAAGTGTCTGCCCCAGAGCACACGCAAGGGAAACTGATTATTGGCCAGAGCTCAGTGAGATCCACAGGCAAAGCGCTGTGTTCTGTACCACCTGCACAGCCCCTGCCACCCTGCTCCGGGAGAAGTGATGGAGGCTACGCTAAGGCTAGGAAATCTCAAGCCCTTTTGATCCTGTTCTGTACACTGCTCCTGTTGTCCTGCTCAGAGGCAGCCAGGCACTGACGTGGCACCACTGGTTTACACCCCTGCTTGCCTTTGGGATGCTCACACGCAGGGGACCTTCCGCCAACCTCTGCCCAGATGCACCAGCAGCTTTTGACTGCCAGTTCCCTGCCTGTGGCCGCATCATCCAAGCAACCACTAACCAGGAAGTGGTTAACCAGGAAGTTGCCGGGCCACTTACTGCTTAAGTAACCAGTCCATCTCTTCTGACTCCGTGGACTTGCTTCTCAAAGGAAGCCCCTTTCAACAGTGTATTGCTATTACCTTTCAATCTAGCCACACCACCACCCCCTGACGACTCCTCTGGGACCAGGTGCTATCCCAGACACTCATCTAAGCCTTCTGACATCAGAACTGATGTGATTGTGACTCCCCATCACTCACATTGATCCTCACGTGCTGGAGAGAAAAGCAGCTCACAGTGGAAGTGAGAGGACAAAGATACACTGTTTGAAATATAAATACCAGCCTACCAGTGGCACGACTGGCTCTTGGCTATTTCTAGCCTTACAGCAACGTTACCCTGGCCATAACCTGCCCAGCTCAGGTAGGCTCATATTAAAACAGACAAACATGCAAAAAGGACAAAAGATTGGTATTTGCAGGACAAGAAACTGGATGATCAGGCTTGCACAGGTCAACCCTTTTTCAACACACACCAGCAGAGCGTGCCTCGCTTATCCCCTCTGAGGAAAAAAAGTATCTCCATGCTGCTGGAATGCAAAAGGAAACCCTGGCATTTTTACAGATCCAGTCCCAAACTTCTCTCCTTCCTGCCGTAAGCCCAGAACCCTGTGGTCCGTGCACCAGCTCTCCTCCCTTCCCCCTGCTCTCTGTGCCCTGCACTCACCTGCACAAAGACGCAGTCGGTGGACGCCGCAGCCGCAGCACTGGCGCTGACAATCAGAGGTGCTCCCTGGGCAGGGGGTGAACACTGCAGGGTGACTGCAAAATTCAAACACAGGGATCAGACTGCCAGAACTGGTGCCCAGGGTGCACAGTTCTATTGCTTACTTGCATTAAACACTGCAGTAACCACTCAGTAAGCTAACTGCCTGAAATGGATTATGACCTCCCCACTGATTGTAAGACTGTGTTCTCCACCTTAAAACATATTTCTCCTAAAGTTCACAGTAATTAAATGGTACAAGTGTGACTTGAGAGCTGAATCAAGATTCCACACACACCTGCTTCACCCACACACTTTTGTACTTCCCTGCTGATTGCAGAGAAGGCATTTCTAAGCTCTTCTGTCTCTGATACAGTTCATCTCATCAGAGCCAGAAGAAATGAGCAGCTAAAGCACATTCTGTCACCGGCTGGTAGCAAGTAACGGACAGGGAACACACATCTCACTGCAAGCACACACGTCAGATACACACGCAGTGACAGAGCACTGGGGGAAAACATTTCATGCACCACTTTGCAGGAACTTCTCAAGCAGCAAGTGGAGAACTTTTGCCGTACGTGTTGGATCCAGGCCTTGCAAGCACTGCCCTGGAGACGCGCAGCTGCCGGGTTCTGGAAGGGCAGCACCAGCTGGAGCCCATCGCTGAAGCGGCAGAAGGGAGCACACCGTCTGCAGAGTGTATGTGACCTCCGTGCAGCACTTGCGGACGACTGGAAAGGGAGCCCCCTGGCCTGGGAAAGCTGGGGAAGCCCAGTGCCCTGGCAGCGACCCAACAGAACCCTGCCATGGTCTGCAAGGGGCCGGAGGCTGCTGGGAAGTCCTTATCTGGAAAGCAGGGTGGTTCTGGCATGAGGCCGCTCTGGTGCAGGAAGGAAAGCAGCTGTCTGGACGACAAGGTTGTGGAGCCTCTCCTGAAGTCAACAGTCCTGCAAAACAAAGGGAAACAAGGACTAAGGGAAGGAGTTTTCACTAGCCCTGAAAGGCAGGATGAGGAGCCAAGGCTCCACAACGTTCCCTGGGAAGACCACCTTTGCTCCAATATTCTTAATCCAGAAACAGACTCTATTCTTACACCTAAACATACAGTAACTGCTGTAGCACTGCCACCTGAACACACAGGAACATCACTGCTGTGCCAACACACAGTCATCTCTGGAGCACTCAGTCTCCTGAAACCCTCAGGAGCAAGTGATGGCTACTTAGAAATGTGCTATTATAAATCAAAATGGGCAGGAGCTGACTAAACCGGCGCAAGCCATTTGGGAAATGCTGTGCGTAACATCAGGCAGTAAGGTAAAATAAAGGGGGAATGGTGAAGCAGGGCTCTACCAAACTCCAGTGCTGACAGCACACGGGCAGCCAAGGCAAGGGCAATGTCCAAATCCTAAACGTGACTCTGAGAGCACTTGATCACAAGTCACTCAGCTTGTCAAGGAAAACAAAAGCAAAGCCAGCTTTTTTCCAGGTAGCTCAACCTAAAAGCTCAGACTTTGCCGTTTTGTTACTTCCAACATATTCCCTTTCGTCTTCCCTGGTTTCCTCTCTCGGTCAGTTATGGTTTCATGGAATGGTACTTGCCCTCATACGGTCGGTCACCCATCGCTTCACACAGATTTAACGACAGCTTATGGAGCAACCCTTCAAGGAGAAGTAACGGTCACCTGGTAGGGCTGTGCCAGCTCCACAGAGACAGGGTGAGGGTGCTCTTACTGCAGCCCCCGACAGAGGCTGTCTTGCAGCCGAGGGGCAGAGGGAACCACCCGCGAACCTCGCTCCCCGTGCCTGCTGGCAGCGCATCTCCCTGCACGAACAACAACGGCTTTCCCGCACCGGCGGAGCTGAGCGGCCGCCAGCAAGGTCAGGCAACCCTGCTCCGTGCGGGGGTGCCGATCGCCAAACCCCAGAGCACCCAGTGCTTCTCGGCCCGCAGCCCGGGGCCACCCCAGCTCACCGGGTCTGGCAGCCTCGCCGAGCGTCGAGGGCAGGCACTGGGAGAGCTGGGCCGGGTGGCTGGGCAGCTCCAGCCCGGCCGCCAGCTTCGCCTTGTTGGCGCTCGTCCGCCGCTTGAGACACACGAGGAGGTCGGGGCGGTCGCGGCGGAAATGGGGGCTGTGGAAGTGGAGCAGGGCCCCGGGGGCGCTGCCGCAATCGCCCCCCGCCGGGTCCTGCAGGTGCCCGAGCCCGGGTCCCGGCCCCAGCTTGCGGAACCCGTACAGGTTCAGCTGCCGGATGAAGCTGCCGAAATTTCTGGTCTTAAAGAACTCGGCGGCCAGCGCCGCCCCGTCGCCGGCCGCCTCCGCGCCCAGCAGCTCTCGCTCGAAGAGCCGCTGGTCGATGAGCAGCCCCTCGCCACGGGCATCCCAGCGCACGGAGCCGCAGCGCGGGCTGTTCACCAGCTGCCAGAGCTTGGCCGGGAAGTGGCTGGGGTTCACAGCGCCGGGCAGCCGCTGGCCCTCCATGGCGCTCCCCGACAACGGACGCACCGGCCGCTCTCGCTCCACCGCCCGCCGGGCAACGCCCGGCCCCGTCGGCCCGCCCTGCGGGAGCGACACCGGCCCGCGCGGCCGCCCGGCACGGGACCGGCTTCAGCCAGCGCTGCCCGCCGGCCCCGGCCCCGCCTCGCCCTCGGCACAGCCGCACCCGCAGCACCGCCAGAGCCCGCCGGGCCCGCAGCGGCTCCCCGCTCCCCCAGCCCCGCCGGTCCCCTCGGCCGCTCCCCGCTCCCTCAGCCCCAAGAGCAAAATCAGGACAAGAACTTAAAAAACAAACCTGCAGCAACAAGACCAAAGCTCAAATCTCATCACTAGCAACAGCTCATCACAGCTCTCCAACAAACTTTGCTCCTCTAGAACTAGACAGGGAAAAGGGAAACGTGAACCAGCAGTGATGCACAACGCAACTGCTCAGCACCCGCTCAGCGGTACCCAGTCTGACCCGAGGGGGGGACCTGCGCCTTCCGGCTGACTCCCCCCACTTTATGTACCAGGTGTCCTGCCTCTGCTTCCTCCTGGATTCCCCTGCCCCTCCTCACTGGCAGAGCAGGAGAGACTGGAAAGTCCTTGCTCAGCCGAAGTGCTACTGAGTAACAGCTAAAACAGCCGTGTGCTACCAGCGTGTTCCCAGAACCAAGCCAGAACACAGCACTGCGCCAGCCGCAGGGAAGAGAATCAATTCTGGCCCAGCCAGAACCAGGACAGTATCCACACCTTATTCCATACCATTCCCGTCATGCCAGGTCCAACTGATTCTTCAGAGGTTTAACATTCAGAAAAGAGCCAACATTCTTTCTTCATAGCACTCTAAGGGCAGCAAGCAGATTCCTTGCACTTCTTTCTCTGCCGGGCTGTTGTTCTTAGACCTCAAGGAAGAAGGCGGCACTAAACTCTCCCTCATAAACACACAGAAGTCTCAAGACAGCAAGTGGAGCAGCCAAAGAGAAGCCCATGTACATCAGCAGACCCCAGCACTCCAACAAGACCCTGAACTCCTATCTTACCAAAGCAAAGACAAATTCAACTCATAGTATTCATCTCAGGAAAACACAACAAAATGAACCCAGCTCCCTGCACACCTTCCTCTCCAAGCCCAACTCTCCCAGAACAATCAGCAGCTTCAGAGAACCTTCTGCTGCCTGCTAAGGGTAACAAAGCCCACTTGTGAGCACCCTGCTCCCACTCTTCTCACTGCTCATTCTGTAGCTGAAGCCCACCGAAAATAATCCAGTGGGGTTTATGAGGAGTAATGGAATTATCAACTTCATTCCTACACATGGGGACCTCCAGAAAGGTGCCCCCAACACGGCAATCTGCCCTTGCCTTGCCACCTTGAACACCACTGCCGTACTGACCCTCTGCTGCATCACTTTGGTGTGCTGGAGCACGGCTCCACAGTGCCAACATCCAGCTGCTGTTCCCAAGCACGTAGCACCAGGACAGAAAGCAGTTGCTGAGCATCACTTTTTTTTTTTTTTTCTCCTTAGGTTTTTTCCCCACGGTTTTTGTTCCACTCTTTTTACCCCCACGGTTATTTTATCCCCACGTTTTCCCCCTTCCAGTTCCCCTCCTGCTCCCGTTTTCACCCCCCTCCCCCAAATTTTTTTTTAATTATTTTTTCCCCACAGGTTTCCCTCTTTTTTTCTCTCTCCTCCGGAGTTGTTCGGGGACTTTTTTCTTTCACCCCCGCCCCTACCCCTGTTTTTTTGGAGATTTTTTTTTTTTTTTTGAGGGGAGTATTTGTTGGTGTTTGTTTATTTCGATGGTTTTCTTACTTTTGCTGCAGTTTTTTCCATAGTGTTTTTCGTTCCACCCTTTTATCCTCCATTCCCTCCCGCCCCGGCATTTTCCTCCCTCCCCCTTTCTCTCTCCCACTGTTTGCCCCCAGGCTGGTAGGTTTCTATCCCAAGGTTTCCCACATGCACAATTCCCTCCCCACTTGGTTCCCCACCCACATTTTCCCTTCTGGTTGGTGGGGTTTCCCCCCCCCAGTTTTCCCTCACCACTTTTCTTCCCCATCCCTCCCCCCCGCCCCTTTTTTCCCCCATTGTTTTGTTGGGTTTTCCTCACAAGGATGGGGATTTTTTTGACACACCCCCACTTTTTTTTCCTCTTACACTAACACCGGCCCCGGGGTTTCATTTGGGTTGGGGGAGGTTGTTTTTATTGATGGGTTTGAGTGAGGGTTGTTTTCCCTCTCCCCCCCCCCCCCCCCCGCCCTTTTATTTTCTGGCTGTTTTTTTCTCCCCAAGTTGGTGTGGGGCTTTGGGTGCAGTTTTTGTTTGGTTGGGTTTTTTCTTTTTTCCATGTTCCTTTTTTTTCCTGGATTTTTTTTTTTACCTTTTTCTGTTCAAAATTTTTTAACCCCCCCGAGTTTTTTCCCCTCCCCCCCACTACCGTTTTTTTCTCTCCACCGGTTGTTGCAGGGGGTTCTCTTTTTCCAGTTTCTCCCTCTGCCTTTTTTCCCCCCCTCCACACTTCACCTCCCCCCGCTTTTCCTCCCACACGGGGTTGGGTTTTTTGGTTGTTTTTTTGTTCTTGGGGTTTTCCCCCTTCCTTTTTTTTTTGCTGGGTTTCCCCAGGTTAGTGCTTTTTGTTTGTTTGGGGGCTTTTTTTTTCAGGTGGTGGTGTGGTTGCTGTTGGGTTTCTGGGATTGTTAAGTTTTGGGTTTTTTTCTGCTTTTTCTTACCCCCAAAGATTTTTTTCATGTTGTTTTTTCTTTATTCCTTTTTCCATTTTTTATTATTATTATTTTATTTATATTTTGCTGGATTTTATCTCTGGTTTTTATCAATGCATTTTATCCTCTCCCTCCCCCCCCCCCCCTTTTTTTTTTCCCCTTCCAGTTGGTGAAGTTTTTCCACAGTTTGAGGGGATTGTGACCACTGGAAATCCTGCATGCTGGTAATCCTCTGTAGTGCCTTTGCACCTTGCAGTGGCCCTGTGAGGTTTTATGATGCCCATTTTACAGCTATAAAATTAAAGTTGACTTTGGAAATCTCCACTGGCTGAGAACTGCGTCCTGTTTTACAAGGCTGTGCTGGTTGATACTGTTAAAGTTTCTGGCCAGATCTGTTGTAAACTGTACAGTTACAAGCTGTAAATATGGCATGGTCAGTGATGCTGTCATGGTTAATACCACAGAATAGTTGTGGTTGGAAGATGCCTCTGCAGATCCTCTAGTCCAACCCTGCTGCTAAAGGCAGGGTCAAGCAGGGCAGGATAGGTAGTGCCAAGCTGCTGCATCCCACCATGGATGCCTTTTGCTCTGTGCCAAGGTAACCCCTTTCTCTGCCTCCGGAGGTAACAGTGAATGTTGAGTAAGGACAGTAAGAAGCAATAACAAGTGCTAAATTTACTCCTGCTCTTATGCAGAGTACAGGGAGGGTTTAGATGAGCTCTTAGGCAGAAGTTCTTCCCTGTGAGGATGCTGAGGAGCTGGCACAGGGCGCCCAGAGAAGCTGTGGCTGCCCCATCCCTGGCAGTGTTCAAGGCCAGGTTGGACACAGGGGCTTGGAGGAAGCTGTCCTAGTGGAAGTTGTCCCTGCCCGTGGCCGGGGTTGGAGCTGGATGAGCATTAAGGTCCCTTCGACACAAACCAGTCTGGGATTCATTCCGCGGTTCCACCGCTCGCTGATGCAGGAGGACGAGCCCTCCCTCGTCCTGCAGCACACAAGCAGCGCACCCGGGGCTGCCTCCCGCGGCCCAACCAGCACCGCCCGTGCCCGACCGCCACCACCGGGAACTACGGAGCCCCGCGGCCGCGGCCCCGAGCCCCGTCTGTCGCTCGCCGCCGAGCGCCGCGCAGGGGCTGTGTGATGGCGCCATCTAGCGGCGCTCTGGAGCAGCGCCGCCCGCTCCGCCCCGGCGCCGTGTTACTCATCCCCTTCCTTACCTGTGTGGAACACGAGCGCACACAGGGCCCCCGCCAAGGCGCAAGGCACAAGGCGCATTGTATTGTTGCAGCAGCGTGTTTTCACAGTGCTGCGGTTACTGCGTTACTGCACTTGAAACTCGGGCATCGTTACTAACCAAAGCCCTTCAAGAAAGCCACCCAAACACGCTCACCTTATCGCAAAGAACCAGGCTTTGCCTGTCCACAGGCAGCAGTTAAGGTCAGCAGTTTAAAGGGGTGAAGAAAACGTGGGCACACACACATAAATAACCCCCAAACATTCCCCCCCCCCCCCCCCGATTTTACAAACTAACATGCTCACAGCTTACTTCCATCTTATAAACTTCTCACACCTTGATTCGACTTCCCAGGATTTCTGCTAAGCTGGGGGGGAGGGGGTGTTGGGGGTTGTGTGTGGAATGAAAGCCAACAGGCTTTCATTTTTCTACTGCATTTCTACTTATACACCTTGAGATTCCAACTGCAGTGCCCTGCTCCAGAAACAACCACTCACGTTGCAGTTCATTCCTTGAACAACTAAAGCTAGGCGAGGATGAGGAAACCCAGTTAACAGCGCCTGGGGGTGTTTAGTCTGGAGAAGAGAAAGCTCAGGGGAGGACCTTATCACTCTCGCCTGCCAAGAGGATGGAGCCAGGAGGGGAGTGTTCTCTGCTCCGCAGTCATGGAACAAAAGAAAACGGCCTCAAGTTGTGCCAGGGGAGGTTTAATCTAGGTGTTAATACATAGCATTAAAGGGAAGTTTAAGCAAATATCAACAAAACAACAGCACATCTTTGGCTTCACCATCCCAAGCCCTAGCAACAATTCAGGCAGTGAAATCACATCAATATCAGAGATGCTTCTGTAGTTTGGGCATTCTCCCACTGGATACTGTGCTTGCCTTCGCTGAATTCCAAAAGAAGCTTAGCCAGCCCTCGTCTTTTGCTGGCCAGTTCTTTCAGGTCCAGTATGTGTTTCCCTTCTCTCCAGCTGTAGATTGTCCTCTTAGTAAGTCTTGAGCTGCTAAGCATCACAGGAGTCACCCCTGAACTGCTGCCTTGCAAAAAAACCTGCTTCCAGCTAAGAACAGGCTGGCACTAGAAAACATCTGGCTTGTACAGAAAACAAGCAT